TCCGTAGTTGTACGTAGGTCGGGGGGTAGGTCATTCCAGAGGGCAGGAGCTGCCACAGAGAAGGCTCTCCCCCTGGGGGTCGCCAGCCGGCATTGACTGGCCGACGGCACCCTAAGGAGGCCCTCTCTGTGGGAGCGGACTGGTCGAAGGGAGGTATTTGGTAGGAGGCGGTCTTGCAAATACCTAGGTCCATTGCCATTATGGGACTTTTAGAGTTCTTCTGAGGACTTTAAACAGACATACCTTGATTCTCCTCCATCTTCCACATGTTCGCAATGTACTGAGTTCAAGGCACTAACTTTCTTGTAATCTTGAGGAGTTAGGTACAGATACTTGAATCCCTGGAAAAAGGAAGGGGTGAAGAAAAGGTAAGAATAGCATAAAAGAAGTTCTGCTATTCTTATCCCAAACCTACACTGCACATCTAAATAACAATATTTGGTAAAGAAATACATCTGTTAAAACAGAGGTCACCAACCTTTCTCAGTTGGTGGACCGGAGGGAAAGGGAGGGGGAAGCATTTTACATGGGCACGCGTGTGCGTGCAAGTGCACGGGGCCGCAAGCACGCGTGTGATGCAAACGGGGCGGGGCTAGCACTTGCGTAATACTCGCTAGCCCTGCCCCATTTTTGCACAGCAAAACGCCCCATTTCCGCGCACCACAGCACGGCGGTGCTTTTTCGGCAACGTGGCGGTGGCCCATTTTTGCACCCCGCGGTATGGTAGCATCCCATTTTTGTACCCTGAGGCGTGGTGGCTTTTACGACTAGACTAGACTACAATCTGCTTTTACAAGTAGACTACAATCAACTTTCCTGACTCCTTGGATGCAACTCTTGAAAGTAGCAAGGTGTCTTTTGTGCATCTACATGTATGTGTACACACCCAAGAGAATGAGAGAAATATTTTTGAATTTAAATTACTTTTCCTCTCTGAAAACTCATTCCAACCCCCACCGTCATACCATGCTTCCAAAGATCCTTACCTTATAGGGGTCAGCTGGATCTTCCCATGCGACATGGAACATGTGACGAATTTCTTCAGCCAAGCCAATCCTGGCCCCGCTGTTGGCAGCGACATAAACCCGGGGGATACCTTGCACCCGAGCCAGCTCTGAGGCTCTGAGAAAAAGCAAGTCCTCTTGGGGGCCGAAAGACCCGATCTTATATGTGATGTCATTGCTAATGACGACGACGTCTCGGCCATCTGGATACTCAGGAGACTTGAGAGTCATGCGCCAAGCCACCATTCCAATCTGCAAAAATGAGAATGGTTGATGTTGCATTATTGATTACTGCTAGGATTAGAACATTGTTTTTCAAACTTGGGAACTTCAAGTTGTGTGGACTTCAACTCCCAGAATTCCAGGCCAGCATGCCTTAAAATGGGTTTCTCCAATCAGCATGCTTTAGGATGGCTGGACTTCAACTCCCAGAATTCCCCAGTCAGCATGTTTTAAGATGGGTGGACTTCAACTCCCAGAATTCCCCAGTCAGCATGCTTTAAGATGGGTGGACTTCAACTCCCAGAATTCCCCAGTTAGCATGCTGCATTGAGACAAAGAGACCCCAGTTCAGGAAGCAGAAGTTTTTAGAACAGCATCTGCATTTTGTAAACTTATTAGTAAGCAAGGTCAAAGTAGAGTATATAAGCTTGGATTCAAGAAGGACAGAACAAAACATTGATTTAATTCCAATCTAACTACAATCAGGTTGCATTAAACTAAAAAAAAAAATTCAAGTGGAGCTGAACTCCTGGTGACTTTACAGACATATCCATGTAGATTTCCTACAGTAGTAACATTATTGGTGTGGTTTGTCATTGTTTTGTTGTTGTTGTTGTTTTCAACTTTCCAATTCAGTCTACCACACTAAATTTCCTCTCCCATCCAAGTAGTAAGGCCTGACCCTGCTTAGCATCCAACCCCAGACATTGCCAACTATGGGACCAACTCAAAAGATTCATTGACACTGAAGGATTCAAGCTACGCAACAGAAGTTTGTGTTGGTACTGAGAAATCTGAGTAGACAGAACTAAGAATAAAGGTTTATTGTATGCAAATAATAATAATAATAATAATAATAATAATAATAATAATAATAATAATAATAATAATAATAATAATAATAATAATAATAAAGTTGGAAGGGACCTTGGAGGTCATCTAGTCCAACCCCCTGCTCAGGCAGGAAACCTTATACCATTTCAGACAAATGGCTGTCCAGTCTCTTCTTAAAAACTTCCAGTGTTGGAGCATTCACAACTTCTGGAGGCAGGTTGTTCCATTGGTTAATTGTTCTCACTGTCAGGAAGTTTCTCCTTAGTTCTAGGTTGCTTCTCTCCTTGATTAGTTTCCATCCGTTGCTTCTCGTCCTGCCTTCAGGAGCTTTGGAGAATACAGTAGCTTGACTCCCTCTTCTTTGTGGCAGCCCCTGAGATACTGGAACACTGCTATCATGTCCCCCCTCGTCCTTCTCTTCGTTAAACTAGACATACCCAATTCCAGCAGCCGTTCCTTATATGTTTTAGCCTCCAGTCCCCTAATCATCTTTGTTGCTCTTCTCTGTACTCTTTCTAGAGTCTCAACATCTTTTTTACATCGTGGTGACCAAAACTGGATGCA